GGCTCTCTTCAAGTCCTACCCTAATCATATTCAGGTCCTTGAACACGAGGGGAGAAAATGTAAAAAATACAACTCGATTTTTTTTTTCTTCCCTGAAAGCTACGCATAAAAACCAATTTTCCGTCATATTTATTCTCCCCACAATGTTGAGGTCAAGTAATCTCTTTACAGCCTGTATATTGATAGAAATATATGCTTCTTTTCCGTCGACCCGTTCAACCGATTCGATGAAGGACCTGGTAGGATCCAGGCGGACCGACAGAAAAAGCTTTTCATCTCAAGAAATAAGGCTTATAACCCTATCGGCCATTTTATTCATCGGTCATTCAGTTATATTCTGATCTTTTTGCTAAATGCAACTACCATGAGGTGATATATTATTTGCTATAGTTACCATTTAGTGACTACATCAGGAAAATTTTCCAAACAGGCTCGATCGAAAGGATCGAAATAAGTTGGTCGCCATTCTGATGGCCGATGGGTCTGGATAGATCGGTCAGTACGTCTAATAAACGTACCACACAATGCATTGTTGGAAGAGACGGGTGAAAGTCTTTGAGGAGGCCGAACCTACGCGTATTTATAGTCACAATTCAACGCTTGGTACATGCTCAAACCGATTCAGATCCGAGCGGAATGTACTAGTATCCGTGCCAAATCCCATGGCTTTTATTTTCCTCGGGCCTGAGGAGGATTAAAGCAAAAATATGCAGAGGTCCATGAACTCCCTTGTTCTCGTTGCAGGTGTTCGATGCCCGGGCTATGACTACCACGGCAGGGATGTTCGAAGCGATCTGCAACCATATTAAATACAGCACAAACAAAGGGAAGATCAGGTATTGAAATCGTAAATTGTGATCGATATAAATTGATATGAGACAAAAAACGAGTATGCTTTGGGAAATCTAGGGCGACGATAACAGTGTTCCCTCAGCGAACGGATGGGAAGCACGACTACAGGATTTGGAACCATCAACTGATCGGGTTCGCTGGATATCTCCAGCCAGATGGATCCATCCTTGGCGACCCTCTTACCGTCGATTTAACGCAGGCAAGTCTTCCTCTCGTTTCTAGCAGTTCCTTTAAACAGAAGCGGGAATATTGCTTTTATCCTTTTGAATGTATGGATGTATGTTTGTATGTGTGGATGAGTAATCATGGTGGAATGAAGCGACGAATAAGGAGGCCTCGGAGAGGGAACAGCTGGTTTTCCGTGGCCGTTTAGTGATCGCATAACTGACAAGCAGTCAGGAAGCCTGGGTTCGATTCTGGGCCGTTCCCTGGTGTTCCCTTCCCCTTCTTTCCTTACCTCCTTCGTCCATCTCTAGGAGAGATGAATTCCGTGAATACTTAATAAGCGTAATGGCGATTGGCATTACAGATGAATTGATGCTTACTTTAAAAAAGTCTCATACGAATAAGAGATAGAGAGGTAGAGAAGAGTTTCGTAAAAATAATTATTCGGTTAAGCTAAATTGATTGATTATACCAGGTTTTTGATAAGATTCGCTATTCCATGGTTATTAGATACGACGCTTATTGATTTATGGCATAAGCGTAGTTCTAGGGTTGATTATGAAGGCATAGAAGTTTCGCTTTAAATCATTCTCTAATTAAAAACGGGGGGGGGGAGTTCTATTGGGCCTGTCGGCAATTATTTTTGCCAATTTTCAATTAAATGCCAAAAGTTCGCTGATAATGGGTTGAACAAAAGCAATCTCACTACCGACATTATTGCTCTTCGGCTCACAGAATGGGTGAACCAATTGTTCTCAGCCATTTAGATGGAGGAGAGCGAAAGCTAAAATATATTGGAAGTACTTGGGTGGTCTGGGATGGAAGACGATGAATGGTCTTAATGATGAATGGTATAGAGTGCCACACGAACGAAAAATTCAAGTCCAAGTATCCTTGTATTCGTTCCATTCCACGAATCCCTTATCATGGGTGAGCAAAGGAAGGTTGCTGGACGCCCAGATTTAGTTGCGATAATTCTGGATTACCTGCCACTGCCTCTTGTCTTGGTTTCTCGTTTTTTTCCCCGTTTCAATTGGAAATCAGTAATACTAATAGTTATTTTCTTCTACATGCAGAGAACGCTTGAGCAGTCCTTGGATGTTGCTGTCGGTTTGCCATACCCGGACATCTTGCCGAATTAGTGTGAACAGTTGAAAAGTTTCTTTTTTTTTCATCGTTTCATCCCATATTGATGACTTCGGTCTTAACCATATGTCCCGCTCTGGAACGAGCGCATCTGATAGCTCTCCTACAGACATGGGGCCTTGAAGTCCATGTCGACATCTATTAAAGTAGCCAAAAGACTTTCCTCAACTTTCTGTCAATAGAGTTGGGTGTCAAGGGCATTTTTTTAAATGCTCAATTCATCTCTCTGCATGGACTTCCATTATGAAATCTCTGTCGTTTTGACCTTTTTCTTGAGTAGAATTTTTTTTTTCAATCAGAACTTTCGAAACCTCATGAAGGGTGGTGGTAATATTGCAGGTGTGCCTGGACCTAGGCTGGCGAGGCAAAGGCACGGCTTTCGATGTCTTACCATTGGTCTTATCGGCGAATGGAGGGGATCCCGAGTATTTTGTCATTCCCGAAGATCTTGTGCTTCAGGTCCCCATCTCTCACCCACAGTAAGAAGGAGTAATCATGCGATAGTTCTATGTTGATTCAGCTTTAACTCCATCACGACTTTTGTAGCGTTTAGAGGTTCTATAGACAAAGATTACCATCAGAGCGAACCGGGATTACTTGCGAAACTACATTTCGGCAAATAAATTATTCATCGAGTAATTCGCGAACCTGAAAGTCTTGAAATATTAATGCTGCAATTCCATGTGCATGCAGATACGAGTGGTTCAAGGAGCTGGGTCTGCGATGGTACGGCCTACCGGCGGTATCAGGAATGTTATTCGACTGCGGGGGGATCGAATTCCCTGCCGCTCCCTTCTCGGGATGGTACATGGTCACCGAAATCGGGGCAAGGGATCTCTGCGACGCTCATCGTTATAACATCCTCCCGGTACGTTCTTCTCTCCCCCCCCCCCCCCCTGAAAATTCCGTGTTTTGTCGTGCATAAAAATCTGAAACTCAGTAGGACTTTTCTACAGTAAAGATTCCATCAATGTTCTCGATTGTTCTAGCAGGTAGATTATGTTAAATTTCTCTTTTGATTCTTTTATAAATACTTTTTATAATGTCTCTTAGGCATTTCGTCAATTTAAGCATAGACCTTAAGTTACGCACATAATCTGTCAATAGCTGTCAAAGGCTTTTCTTTTAACTTTGTTCAGGAAGTGGGGAGGCGCATGGGATTGGACACATCCACTCCTTCCACGCTTTGGAAGGATCGGGCTCTCGTCGAGGTCAACGTCGCCGTCCTGCACAGTTATCAGGTTCCATATTAGTGACAATCACAGAAATATTAACACGATTGAAACTAAAATTAGCATCAGTTGTTGTTATTCTTAATGCGCATGAAACATGGGCAAGAAAAAAACTAAACGGAACTCGACCAAGTCAGTACTCTGAAACCAACGACATCCACAGATACGAGTACTAAAAATGAACTCGATGCTGTGTCCCATGACGATGAAGATAAAAATGAAAACGTGGGATACAGGAGAGCGGAGTGGCGATGGTGGACCACCACACGGCGTCGGAGTCATTCATGAAGCACCTGGAGCACGAAATGAAAAACCGAGGGGGATGTCCGGGGGATTGGGTCTGGATCGTCCCTCCCCTCTCTTCCTCCATCACTCCTGTCTTTCACCAGGAAATGGCCCTCTACAAACTCAATCCTTCCTTCGAATATATGGTTGGTCTACACCACCTCGTTATCACTCCATATTTCAAGTAACCCAGTAGGTTTCAGATGAGTCTTGTGATTCTTGTTAGGATCCGGCATGGAAGACCCACGTCTGGCATCAGGATAGGAACGACGTCCATGATTCTACCAAGCCCAGAAGAAAATTCACTTTTCGAGAGATCGTCAGGTCTCTCTTTTTCTCTCTCCCTCTCTTAGTCCGTCCGTCTTATGCTAATCAATAATCCAGGTAGCATGTATTTATTGAGGTGAAACTTTCTGTAATTCATCAAGATGAAACCCTGGAATTCTTCCTGTGAACGACCGCGAAACACTTTTAAAATGTTCCTTTTTTAAACGCAATTTTGATATTTTCCATTAATTCGAATCTCGAACCTATATTACCCTGATTCAACGTTTCCACCGAATGAGGGCTCATTGCTTGAATCTTTTTATCTTTTTTTTTCGCCCATCCAATTTGGGATGGTGCATTTGTTCTCTAGACATCTTTTATTAACTCCCAAGAATGACTGGTTGAATGATAAATGTGTACAGGGCAGTGAAATTCACATCGAGGCTGTTCAACCGAGCCCTTCACCGGAGAATCAAGGCGACGATCATCTATGCGAGCGAAACGGGGCGATCGGAGCGATTCGCCTCCATGCTCGCTTCCCTCTTCTCCCATGCCTTCAACGCGCACGTGAGTTTCCTGTTCGGTGAAATTGCACCTAGGGTCGGCTTTGTCCGTCGACTTCCGTCCGTAGCACGACTCCTCTGTGTGCAATTTAATAGAGAT